AATTTATATTTTGTTACTAAACTAAAATATTTTCTATTATGGTGGATAATTTTTCTGTAAAAACTGTTATTGGTCGTGGACGAAGAATAAAGTAGAGCAGTGGAATAACGGTATTCATGTGGTATCTAGCTGGGTAACACTATCGAGTTCTGTAAATACCCATACACATACGCCATCGCCACTCCGAATACCCTACAGCGCAGCGAGCGGTTCAAAACTGTATGGGCAGTGCACTAGAGAGGGGTAGGTCCGGATGGATACGACCTCTCTCCGGTGCCGGTAGCAAAAACATAACCTTAGCAAAAACATAACCTTCCAACGAAATAAATCAGTATTGGAGAGTATTGGCATAAAGACGGCATTATAGACTGCTGCCGAGTTATCGCTATTTTTCAAATTCTACAAGTTTTATGATTACAGTGATATTGTATAATTTATATAGTTTTGTAACAAATTGCTTGCTATTTTATGGAAAATGCTGAAGCTCTGCAAACCTTAATCAAAGCACGTGTGTTTGAAATTTTGGGTGTGGCTTAACACGACAGGATCGGGCTAAGCCTTAGGCAGACTTCTGAAATATAATATATATTTCCTTCGACCACACACTCGCTTTAACCGACCTTTAACCGCCTGGATCAAGAGGAGACAACCTCACCAAAAACCTAAATCCTACGATGGCGGGATCAGATCAAAGGGATGCGTGGCTAGATAGAGTACTAGCCATTACTGGCCTCAACCTTGGGGCATCAGGGGGCACCCCATTGTATTTACCTCTTACTTCTGCATGCGGGGCTCTGTAGATGTGGACCGACTATCCCTAGCGACTCATGGGAACACTATGAGATCTAGTATTAAAAACACCACCGGTGAAGCTGTGGGAAAGCCCCCTAGCGACACTGGGAACATTACAAATGAAAGTTCCAAGGGTCCAAATCCAAAGGAAACTACAGGAGAGGCGGCTGACACTTGCTTGGAATCATCCTCCACAAGTGGCACATAAGCTACCACCTTCTTCAGCAAAGGTCGGGAGCCTACCTCTAGACCCAATAAGCGACATAAGCTAGCGTTTCGTCTACCCGGCCTGGGTCAACCAGGCGGGGTAGAAGATCCTCTGAGAGTAGGTCTTAGCGGAGATACCTCCGCCTGCTCCACGAAGGACTTGTTCCAGAGGAAGCAAAAGCGAAAACACTTCACCGGCATGAAGAGAAAAAAGCCAGGATGGAAAGCAGTCCAACACCGGGAGGCAAGCAGGGACGTATTACCAGCTTTGCCGCTATTGCTGGACAAGTGAAAATGGCGGTGCTGCCAAAGGATTTCTCAGAGGTTGCTCTGCGACCACCGACCAGCAAACGTCTCTAGAAGAGGCTATACTGGACACAAAATGTGGGTCAGCTGCGTATTGTCCTCATAGATTGTGTATCTCAAGAATCGGCGAATTGGTTGGTGGAAATCGCACCTAAGCTTAAAAATTGGCAGGGGCCGGATCTGGTTGCAGTGAAGGGAGAAAACATCCCTAAAGGGGAGGCCATAACGGTCTTTCTACCAAGGAGCAAGGGGAAAGATACCACCTACCTGCTGATGAGCCTTATCCAAGGTCAGAACTTTAATGTAAGGACATCGAGTTGGCGAGTCATCAACTCGAGGTAGGAGGGTCATGGTCAGGTCCTCACAATAGGAATTGGCCTCAAATCCAAGGGGGCAATAGAGAAAGAGGGACATATCCTCTATTATAGATACGGGACAACACCGGTATCAGGTCTAAGGAGAGACCAGGTTAAAGAGGTGGAGAAAATGGAGACAGCTCCGTCAGCCTCCACCTCACGGGTTCCTCAGCCGGAGGCAAGCTCCTCGACTATGAAGAGCGGCAAGGAGGGCCAAACTCCAACCGTGGAAGGGTGTGTACCCTCGGAGGAAGAACTGTTGTCAGAGGAGGATGGGAAATACCCTGTCCCCTCTACAACAGGGGTATGATGGGTTATAGATTGTGTGATGACTCAAGGAAGGGGGGCACAATAGATCTTTAAGGTCGTAGTTATTAACCCCCCCTTTTACTCATTTTACATTCTATACAGTGGTATTTTACTAGCAAAACAAGTTTGCCTAACCGACAAAATATAATTCAACGGTTCAGGAGGCATATCTTATAGAATTCTTTCAAAAAATGAACCCGCCACATTGGTACAGACATTTTTTACCGATTATTATAGTATTAATTAGACAATTTTTTGAATCATTCAAATAAATAAATATGATATAAAACTACCGTATGATGAAAAAAAACGGCTTTCAGTTGGCTTGAAAATGGACATCGATCACATTCCCCATATGTATGTATAAATAAAATTTTACATAAAAAATTACAGAGATCTTCATTTCATAACCATAACTGACGCCGTTTTTTTTTGATCATATACGGTATACTTATTTGTAAACAATTATTGCAAATAGTGTTTTACAAACTTTTGTATAACATTTTAAAGAAATAAAGGATAATAATTTTTGATGAAAAATATTTGACAAATATTTTTCATCATTTAAAGTTTCATTTGCATTAAATTATTTAAAATACGATTTACTTAAAGCTTCTCTACGTAGAAACTGCCTCTAGTAAAAATGTTTAAAAAGTAACCTAACCTAACCAAAACCAAGATCAAAGGTGTCTTGGTCTTGATGTTGCATTTGATCATCCCTAATGCACTGCATTTAGCATATAGGAGTGTACTGGTGTAAATGTGATAAAAAATTGTTTCAGAAAGTGTTCAACACAAAACACAAGATAAAGATAGCAATGGCGCTAATAAATCTAACGAATTTTGAAGAAATCGCTTAGGAACAAATTATTCGGATTGTCACCGGTTTTTTAACAGGACATTGTCTCCTCAATAAACACCTCAGTAGACTGAAGCTAAGAAACAACGGCGAATGCAGATTCTGTGGGAAAAATGGAGAAACAGAATCACCTCATCACTAAGTGCGCCTAGACAACAACCATTCCTACCATATACTTTGATACGACGCATATCGAAAATGAAGCACTAACCTCCATAAAACTGTCTCAGATACTGGCTTTTGCCAAAGCCCTAAGGCTCTATAATGAGTTATAACTCAAGAAAGGGAGACACAATAGATCTGTAAGGTCGCGTTGATTAAACCCCCTCCCATTCATTTTCCAGCCAACATCGCGACATCCTCTCATTATTGGAAAACAGAATCGCTTCATCACTGAGTGCGCCTAGATGACAACCATTCATGCCTAGAACTAACCTCCGTAAAACTGTTTCAGATATTGGCTTTTGTCAAAGCCCTAAGGCTCTATAATGTAAATATTTCTTAAAACTCAAGAAAGGGAGACGCAATAGATCTGTAAGGTCGCGTTGATTAGCTCCCCTCCCTTACATTTTACAGCCAACATCGCGAGATCCTCTTATTATTGGACCACCCTTAAAATCAACTTGATGAATAAATATGTGATAAGTATCTAAGTTTTCTATGATTATGTAAAATGTGCAGAACACACTAAAATGTTTACCAGAAGCCGCCACTGCTTTATTTATAATCCGAAGAGCATAATTAGCGCAGTATCTTTGAGGGAGTGGCCAAGTTTCAGACGGTAATTAACATAAAGAATTCGGAAGTGCGCTTAGCACGGTTCTAACGTCGTTTGTAACGTTAATGTCGGTGATTATTGTGTAATAATAAGAGAGAAGTACGGCGCAACAGTTAGCAGAAAGCTTACAATGTTCGAAGTGCTTATTACACTTTTCGCCGAAGCCCAAAATTAAACTTGGCGTAACGTTCGTCTATTTAAAATGGAGTAAAAGTTACCGTATTCTAATACACTATTTCATTTTATGGTTATTTCGGTTTAATGCATTAAAGTATTTCTGATGTCATGAACTTTTGAAAGTTTTAATTTTGCGAGCTTCAGCGTTTTCTTTGTTTATTGTTTTAGTGCAATCTGTATAAATCAAGAAGCTTCAAATAATTCTTTGTGCAGCGTGCGATCCAGATTAAAATACGTACAGTAATAATACGTACAGGATGTCCCCGTATTTTCTTTATAAGAGTAAAAACTTTTTTTTATTATTGACATTTTGAAAAAATTAATTCTTCATAAAAAATTTTGCTTCCTCTAAAATGGTTAATCCCGTTTATAATTTTCCAAATTTCCATACCGTTTTAGAAAAAATAAAAAAAAATATATATGAAAATAGGATTACATTTTTTCCTAAAAGTCCTAAAAATCAAAAGGCATTTCTATGATAATATAATTCATATTTCATTGTTTGAAAGAGAGAGATGGTTCTTATTAATTTTTATTAAAGCCACATTCGGGGTAGATTGTAAAACCTTTCGTAAAACAATTTAACCCCGTTATCGCGTGATAATCTACCCCGTTGAAAAATAAACTTATGGCAACACTGTCATACGCGGCTAAGAAAATCACTATAATAAACTTGAAACTGTACCAACCTTGATTTCATACATATTTTCATCGATAGGTTTGTAGCTTCTGAATGAGGGCCAATCTATCTCATTTGTTAGCTCAGAATTAGAATTTAGAGTTAGTAACTAGCATTTTCATTGGAGAACACTGTCATATTTATTTCAAACCAATAATCAACGAAAATATTCGTATAATTTAATAAAATTACTGTAAATCACTATAAATAATGAATTGTTTGTAATTGAGCTGTAATTTCTGTATTATTAATCCGGAAATAATGGAAATAAACAATTGTGATTAATTAAAATTTTATTTTAAGATGAAACTTGTAACGTTTTAATAAAACGATACTATTGGCAACCCAACATACACCTTACCGAATTAGTTCTGACTAATTTCGGACACTCTGTGGATCGTACTTGCCCTTGTCGGCGCAGAACTAGAGCATCTTTTTGACTATCGGAAGTCACCATTTTTGATTCAGATTTCGTGGCTTAAACATCGACATACTTATCTGAAGTCATCCGAAAAAGTTTCAACCTTTTTACCCTGTTAACCTTTGGAATGTAGTCCTAATGGTTCCTGGCATTTGGGGAAGGAATCAATTTTAAGTTTTCATGGGTATTTTTGTGGTAAGTTTGATCTGCATCATATTTTTACTCTTTTGGTTCAACCTTATCTCTCTACAGATTTTCTAAACGTGGTTTTGGTTGTCCTGTCATGAGTTTAATTTTTGAGTAAACCCTCAGCATCGTGAGGTAAGTTCTAAAATTGCTAAAATGCATTGTGCATACACAAATGCATGTGCTTCCCTTTCTAAAATGCGTTGTGCATAAGTTGTGTCGTTTCCAGGGTTTTACCGTCCAGTTACATGGCGAGTTATATGTCGTGATTGGTGGTTTGAGGTACGAGAGCCTGTATCTATGATCCATGTTTGATTTCCACATGGCTGGTGGTATTGTCAGGGGCTGTTCGAGGCTGTGGTAGATTGGGGATGAGCTCCCACACCTAGCGTCCACACACCATCCAGAACGACGAGCCAAAGCCTGGAATTGCACCGGATAATCAGGCCAGATTTCATATTTTTTTATTAACTCATTTCAAATCTATTTACTTACTGTTGACGAATTACGTAATTAATTATGTAATTATTAGATATCATTTTTGAATTTCATTATCAAAATATAATTTTCTTAATTTTAAATATACAAATTTTTATATATTTTAATATCTTGTCAAGTATTTTGTGATGGTGTCACTTGACATATTTATTTAATTAACTTTTGATTGATTTACGGAATTATGTGCGCATACAACAAGAGTCATGAACTGCGTTAGTTTGACGTACTTATTTAATTTTATTTTGCGTAATTTAATATTAATATGTCAATGATTTTTGATCAACAAAACAAGTGATACTATTTCTTTATCATACATTTAAATTTTGATTACTTATTATTCTTAAATATTAATTCATTTTAAAAACCTAACTTCATCCATCAATTACTGTCCTTTTTTTATTATTATTTTTTTTTATTATTTTATTTATTATATATTTATTTTTTTTATTATAAATAAATTTAAGTTGAGGTAAAGAGATCTATTATTTCTGAGCGAATGTCCTGGCGCCCAATAATTATTGTTTTATTAATTAATTATAACACCTAATAAAAAAATAAAAAACGAACCTACGACTGCTCGCAAAGACAAAAAGCTGCCGTTTGCATTGTGTCAAGAAAACGTTACAAACTTTTGTTAACAACCTTCTGAGAATTTGAATAATGAATTAAATAATGACAAAACAAGTGACATCTGTCTAAAAAAGACAGCGATTTAGAGTGACAATTTGGTTATGTAAAATTTAGAGTGACAATTTTGATTATGCAAAAGAAATACATAATCAGTATACTGGTTGCCTAACGATTAAAATGAATTTAAAAATAAATCCCCAACATAAATAATGAACAAAACGTTTAAACAAAAACAGACCACAGACTACACAAAACAAATTGTTGGTTAGTAACAGTTAGGAGTAGTCGGAGATATAAATGTAGGAGTATTTTGGTTTAATAGCAACAGCCATCCGGCCGGGTAATAGAATTATCGTTTTTTAATAAAAATTAAAAAAAAAACATTATAAAATTATAAAGCTAGAATAGTATACGGTTTTATACTAACTCGTATTTAATTTTTTTGAAATTTATAAAAAGCGTTCATAAAAAAATATATCTTTCAAATCCTTCAATTTAATAGCTATTAGCCTTGTATATATATTTTTAAAGAAGATCAACCTAAGACGTTTATGGACTAAGACTACTAGATGGCAGTTACTCTGATTTTGAAACTACCAATAAAAACAGAGAAAATAAAAATCGATAATTTTCGGACTGTGCCAATTGGTTACTAATCGACCAGATACTTTTTATCTATTAGATATACTATAAAAGCTGGCAATTATACAATTCGACCATTGTAAATGTAAATACCCGACAAATTCTTCAAGGCCGTCGAGGCCGATGCTTCTCACTGATAAGAAATAAAAATGTTTGTTTAGATAATTTTCCAGGTATTTTTTCTTTCTGAATGCACATTTTAAAGTATTTTATATTCTTGACCTAGTAACCTGGTCGCACGTATGGAAGTTCTGTTTCTTCTAATTTTAGAAAATGTTCTTATTTCTTTTTTCTTTGTAATTGTAGTGTAAAATTAAATTAATTTATTAAGTTTAATTATAGTGTTTAGTGTAGCATGTTAGTGTAGTCTACCAAAAATAGTTTAGTAGTGTTTTTATAGTTTATTTTGTAGTTAAGTAGTATACGTAGTAGAGTAGGTGAAGGGATAATTTTGTTATTTTTTCTTTTTGTTTGATAAATTAGTAAGTTTGATAATTTGTACAGTGTAGAATACAAGAATAAGTAGTTGTGTAGTGTTTTTAAGAGGTTATATTCGTTTATTTTGTAGTTGAGTAGTAGGTGAAGAGGTATTTGGGTATTTCTTATTTTTGTTTTTCTTGTAATAATTGTAGTAGTTTAATAGAAACCAAATCTTCCTTCAACTTCGTTGAAAAGTGCGTTATCATATAATCTTGGTTTTCTGGTAGCAGAATATACGAAAAAAATATGATCAAATTTATTTGAAATTAAATTATTCTAGCCTTATTAATCAAATTAAACTAGTCAAATAATAATAATAGTTAGTTTCAAAATACTATACAGGGTGAGTTTCCTACGATGTTCTCTATGGGCATCTCGAAAACTACTGGAGATAGAGAGTTATCATTTATATTAATATATATATTTGTCAATAATAACGGTTGCTCGTAGCGATTTTTACGAAGAGGTATTTTTTACGTAAAAAGTCATGGAAATGTATATTTTTTTAGTCAGCAGTTTTATACAGGTACAGACGAAAAGTTATTACTCTTCAAAACAGTTAATACACATGTAGGTGGCGCCCCCTACAAATAGGAGCCATATTGACATCAAAATCAATTTTCTCGAGTCACAAAATAATGGGGAAAGAATTCCAGTTTTGTGGGGTAATAAATATGCGCCTTTCGGATTTTTGAAAAAGTTAGGGGGGGGGGTGTCATAATGAAAGTAATGTTGGAACCACCCTATTAATGCACCACTATCTAAATTTAACTTTTCTAAGATGTCTTGAAAACCGTTCTCTAAAAAACGTAAATAACGTTCACCGGTCAACGTATCCTGGAAAATGTATGGCCAAGAAAAGTTGAACCAATAATCCTACACGTTTTTCTTCATTTAAAAAATTCATATTTACAATTTTTGTTTAAGCAAGTTGCATTTTTTTGAACATTTAATGAAGAATGTAAAAAGTGTTGTTTTCAAAAAAAAAAATATCGTAAAATTCGTAAAACACTCAATTTAGAATAAAATAATCTAAGAATGAAATGATTCTTTTATAAACCTGCATTAAATCAAATTAAAGTAGGTATGTAACTTTTTCTAAATATTAATTAACGGTAATTAGCATTATCATAAATTATAAAAAATGTACCAAACCAAACATATCGAAATAATAATTTCTTTGTCAATACAGTTTATAATTTTTAAAGTAACAGGCAAAAATAATCTACAATCTACAATAAAATAAAAGTTTCGTTTTTAAATTTCTTAATCAGCTGATCACTATTAAAGATGCAGAAACCCGGGCTATATTATTACATTACTCTGAGGAAAATAACGAAAATAATCGATATTTTTGACTCCGCCCCGAAAGGTTCACGATTTGTCCTCCAGTTGGCAGCACATTTTGTCTAGTCGGTTGAACAACTTTAAGAATATATAAACAAGGCTATTAGTAAGAAATTTCACTTCAAATATGCGCAGATAGTGCACACAAACAATTTTTTAATTGCAAAATCACCTTAGCTTTATTGAACAAAAGTTTCAAATTATCTTAGTAATATCCGCATAATAAATTTCACTGATGTGCACTTGTTAACTCATCATATTTGATACAAAAATATAAAAATCTTATTTAAAATATGTATTAAAATGATAAATAACAAATAAAACTTGAGGAATCGGCAAATTAAAACCAGAAAATAGCCAAAGAAATAAAAGAAAAACAACAATCAGCTGACACACAGTACGACGACAATACGCAGGTCAATTCTTTTGATTCTTGCTTTTAAGCCAGTATCAAACAACGGCTAATGCAGATTCTGTGGCGAAGATGAGAAAACACCAGAACACCTCATCACTCATCACTGAGTGCGCCGAGACGACTACCGTACGTGTTATAAACTTTGGTACGGCTGATGTCGGAGATGGAGAGCTGGCCTCAGATACTGGCTTTAGTCAAAGCCCTGAGACTGTATGATGAGTTATAACTCAAGAAAAGGGAACCCACAATAGATCTGTAAGGCCGCGGTGATTCACCCCTCTCCTAAACATTCTACAATTCTGGTTGGAACGCAACAGCTACCGTTCGCTAAATGATTCTCTCGTTGTTGGAACGCATTTCCTCTACTGCACTTGAACGTAACCGTACCAAGAACGGTTCTGTGCTATGTTGGAACAAACCTAATATATCATGACAAGATTACAAATCGTTTTAATAAAGTCGAGGCTCGACTATAAAGGTTTTCATAAACAGAACCGAATATTTCATTGTAATGCCACTTTAAAAGTGCCACGTTGTCCAATAAGAGCCAATGGCAAACATGCCGCCCCGCAATTTACACCAAAATAAATCAGAACCCCGACAATATTGCCAGGACACGTGTCCCGCCCTCTGCACCTCCTTTTTCCACTACGGACTCGAGCGAAATATTGTGCTCTAGCTTTTCGCTATTGATATACCTATTTTTATGTGCGTAGGTGTTTTCGGTGTTTAAAGTTGTCAGCGTTGATTTTATTGGAAGGGGTTCGGTAGGTAAGTTATTAAACTACATTGTTAAGGCATGGTTTTATTGTTTTTAGTGTTTCCAATGTCATTTTATGACAAGGTCGCCTTCAAATAGTCACTCAAAAAGTAGCTGACTCATAACTAAATGCAAGACTGATCAATTCATAGATACAGTCTATGAATCTCAGACTGAGAGTGGGTTTCTATTTGAAAAAATGATTTATGATAATTTTTTATTCAGTCAATTCCATGACATTTGAACAATCTAATTTTTGAAATATATAGCCACATGTCTTCCCTTTATGTCACAGTGGCTGTGGCAATGACTTATAGGGTGTATTCCGTTGCTTACCTTTGTTATGGTTTTATGTTCCGTTTCTATCGGTTTCCTGAAAGTGTTCTTATTACGGAACACGGTTCCTGAAAAATTCGGTTATAACTGTCACCAAACTAACCAGCGCAAGAAGTCTGGTTTTGCTGATGTTGTTTGTCAATCAATGTCATTTATGTGACAGAAATCAAGCAAATATTGGAAGTTCGAGTGAAATTCTCATTTAATTTCTAAAATTTGTAATAATATTTTGTATTTACATCCAGAAGCAATGGAGGTAGGCAGTAAAGGTAAATAAATGCATAAATGCTCTC